CATCAAAGGATGGAACAAGTTTGTGAGGTAAAATTAGGAATTTCTCACAAACTTCAACAACAACAACAGAAAATTAGTCTTTTGTTGGCAGCTGCATCGATGGGACAGCAAAATAATAATAAAAGTAACAAAAGAGGTCGTGGTAAGTATATACAGCATTTATATTATATTCTACATATTAAAAGGTTATAGAAATACTAATTATTCTTTAAATTCTTTTATAAAGATGATGACGATGATGATAATAATTATGGCGAAGATGGGCATGTTGACAAAAAACAAAGATATAATTAAAAGATTTATTTTCATTTTTCTTTTATATTTTTTTATTTCAGATATTTTTAATCCTTTTTTATATGTATTCAATTATTTTCAATTATAAATAAATATATATATGATATATGAAATAAGATTATGTTTAAATGTTAATTTATTTCATGGTTTCATTAAATAATCGTTAATCAGATATCATTATTATGCTTAATTATGCTTAATTATTCGTAATTACATTGTTTATTTTATTGTTCATTTGAGTTCATCGAACCATTAATAGGTTCATTAATTAAATTGTTAATTGATTCATATATTGTTTCTTAGCTCTAATTTTGAATTTTTAGTATATAAATTTTATCATTTTCTTTCCGTTTGTTTGAGAAAAAAACGCAATTGCTGTGGCCAATATTCAAAAGAATTTGGAATGGAGGAAAGGCCAAAAAAGAAAACGTGATGAAGAAGATTTATAATTTTTATTTTTTTAATTTCTAATGATAAAACATTAATTAATTATAAATGATAAAAAATATTCCTAACAGGTGGGTGTAAAGATGATAACGATGATGATAATAATAATTGAAGAGGAGACAATGACAGTAAAGACGATGAGGATAATGATCATGGCCTAGGTGGATGCAGAGAATAACGTGTCTCGTATGTATGTTTTTTATCAAGAAATATATTATTTAGTCATTTTTTATCTTTTGTTTTTTTCTAAAAATTCATCTTTATTTTATTATATTTCCTTGCATTGAATAAAGGCTTTAAATAAAGTAAATAACTAAATCTTCTTATCTTCAATATATATATTTAGCCGAAGACGTACATTGGCTTTATCCATCACCATCCTTCTCTTCTCATTTATTCTTTCTTAGACATCCTTGAACCTTTTGATGATAATTCTCTTCTGATATTTATTGTTTCATTTTTTTAAAAAAATATTTCTTAAAAATTTAAGATGATTATGCGTTACACAAGGTTAATCCAGGTAATCTACACGTCAGTACACCATTAGTACTCACATGATATGATGATGAGAGTATATCATGATCAATTATGACATCAACTATATCATATATTCATCTTTTTACTATTTTGATTGACTTCTTTTCAATTTTTATGAAAAAAATTTTCAAATTTTAAAATCTTAAAGAAATAGTATCCAAAGTAAACATAAAAAACCCAAATAACAACATCAACTAAATTCAAAGAATTCAAGTACACTTAACACACTTAACACACTTAACACACTTAAGTCGATATATTATTCAATTAAGATGAAAAATAATATCAAAACAAACATGGCTTCAACAAGCGAAAGAGTTGGAAGAGAAAAAAATGGAAATGATAGAGGTGGTAGAGGTGATAGTAGTGGTAGTGGAAGAAAAACTGTACAACTTCGTAAAGTAAGAGAAGGTGGTGTATGAAAGACAGCAACGAATGGTACAAGAGAAAAAGGAAAGGGGAGACAAGAAGAAATAGAAGTAACAGAAGTTATTGCAGAAGGTTCAATAATAGGAGTAAACTCATTATCATGTTCTGAAAATGAGAATGAAGAAATTATATCCCAACCATCTAATGAAATGGATAATTGGGAAAAAGAATTGAAAGGTGAACTTATGGAAGTTTTAGAGGTGAAAGATACCAGATTAATTGAAGGGGATGAATTGGTGGCAGGATTGGAAGCAGAATCAAGAGAAGGATCAGACAAGAATGAGGGGAATATTGAGAAGGTGCTAAATGAATCAACTGATAATTATGTTTCAGAAGAAAATACTCCACTAATTATTTTAAGGAATCGTAGAAAATTAAAAGATACCTCATCATATAACATAAAAATGACATCTGCTGATGTTGTTACAATTTCAAATAATGTGAGAGAACATATTCTTTCATTTAATACGAATACCAAGAAAAATAATAGGGGAAATGATAATTGTGAAGAAGATATTTCTATTATTCTAAAGAAATGCAGAAAATTGACAAACACTTCATCATCAAATACTACAAAAGCAACATCTACCGATGAACATAACAAATATAAAATTGAAACGTTAAACGAACATCAGAAATTATGTAAACACTTTGAACAGCAAAAAGAGATATATAATAGAACAAAAAGATCTCTAAATCTATATATCATGAAAGCCAATGAGATCCGAACTGAAATAAAAGATTCAGATTTTACAAATATTCATCAACAGAACTTAGAAAGAATTAAAAAATTATTGGTTGATGGTACAAAGTTTCAAGAAGAAATTAAAACATTTTTATAAATTATGAAAGGATCTTAAAATGACTGCAGAAGCATGTAACAAAGCAGTAATGGATGGGATATATGAATGATGGTAATGTTTACTTTCGAATAGGGTTGATCTCTTAATGATTTCTTGAATGTTCTTTATTTTACGCTGATTATATTTGATTATTATAATGGTGAAGCTATAATAAGAGAGATTATATTATTAATAATCACTTGGTGACGATTAAATTAGATCTTATAGCTATAACCATATTTTCTTTAAAATTAGATTTCAGTTTATTTCTTATTTCCTTTTGAAATTAAGAGAGATTATATCATGAATAATCACTTGATGACAATTAGATTAGATCTTATAGCCAGAATTTTATTTTTCTTTAAAATTAGATTTCAATTTATTTCTTATTTCCTTTCAAAATGAAGCGAGATTATATTATGAATAATCTCTTGGTGATGATTAAATTAGATCTTATAGCAATAATCATATTTTTCTTTAAAATAATATTTCAATTTATTTCTTATTTTCTTTTTGAAATAAAATTAATTTGAAAAAAAATTTTAGTTTATTGTCAAGTTTTTTTATACCTTGTTACATTTTGTTTGGCAATTATAATTTATTTCTGCAACATAATGGATTATCAAATTATCAAGAAGGGTAGAAAATAACAATGAATTATTTAAAAAAAGACAAAAGAAAGAGGCAATTAATTATACGATCTTAGATATCATTCAATGTTAGCTTAGATGACCTTGACATATGATTATTGTGTTGAACTTTCATTTCAAGAAGTTGAAGCCTGGAATGAACTTGAGTATTATTGTACTATAAGAATTGAAAGAGAGACGTATGTAATCTGCAACCTGCTGAAGGTTACAAAATGAGGAATAGTAAGAATTTCAAGGTGATAAAATAATTAAATTTTGAAAATTTAAAAAAAATTAAATAATAGTAAAAATTGACATCATTAACTATTACCTTATTACCTTTTTCTTTAATGTAATACAATAAACAATTATTTAGAAATAAACTCATCGAATCAAATTAATTTAATTGGAAACATTTATTAATTCATCAAGAAATGAATCCTGAAAAAGTAACGTTATTTTTTATAAGGTTTGTACTATTAGAATGTAATGATCCTTTTTTATTTCAATTTTACCATCCTTTCATTTGAATAATGAAATTGAGACATGGATTAATAATATCTTTTATATATTTAGATCAATGTTGATTTTTTTTTTTTAATGAAAAAAATGATTGAAGTTGACGATGCACCTTTAATTAGTTGAAATTATGATATACTTAATGATACATTAATTATCAGGTGAAAATAATTGTAGGGTAACTTTCTCTTTTATAAGAAATCATCTAGATTAAAAATTTATACTAATATAAAATTAATATTTTATGGGAAATTAGTTAAATAATCAAATTGTTTATCACTATGTATTCTCATCAAACTACTTTGTCACATTAGTTCTTACTAACTTTTATTAATATACTAGTATATGACCTGTGCTGAAGGCATGGGGAGTTATACTAGTTGTGATTATGTGATATTATGATGTTGTTAAGGGGTGTTTTTTAGTTAAATAAAATTTTTCTCAATTTTTGGCTGTAATGACTATTATTTATTATTTTTTTTGTAAATATGACATATTTATGTTAGTTTGTTCAGATTTAGAAATTTTGGGTTTAATTTCAGGTAGTATAATTTGTTAGTATGTGAAATTTTTGTAATAATGTATATATATTTTTTTTTGTAAAGAGTGTTAATTTAACTAAGGGTTTTGTAGTGGTTTTTATTATGTTTGTTAATTTATTTATATTATAATTTTAAAATAAAAAAGTTTTTGCATTAAATTTGTTAACAATGAATATATTTCTGATAATGCTATATTACACTGATAAGATTGTGAAGATTAAGATAGTGCATCACACTGAAAGGCAAGATATTGGATTGTTGATGGTGTGGGCTGTTGATGTTTATCCTGTTGGATGTTAAGATAATGAAATGGAGATAATTTTGTTTGTGCCGCTTGAAACTAAAAAAAGGAATTTTGAGACTTCGGTGATTTTTGAAAAAGATAGTTTTTATTCCATCGGTGATAAGATCGTGCCTATGTATTATGCAGGAAGTAAATGACCAAAGGTTTGTTTAACTGAACTAACATTTTATGTTTTACAGAATATACTTGTTATTCATGTTCATTTATGCTTATTCTGTTTAGATGATGATCTCGATTTCGACCTGTGTGAACATTCTTAGTAAGGCTGTCAATTCTAATAAATGTCTATTGAAATTTTTTTGATGGTAATTCTTCAGGAGTCATCACAAATTGTGAGAACCAACGAAAATGCTGTTGTTTATATGTTGATTAGTAATTATGCTAACTAAGATTATAATTTTATTGTTAAAGTTGCATTCCCACATTCTAACTCATAGTTTTTGAACTTGATAAATAAGATTCAACCACAAAAATCTTTTGTTTTTGTTGTCAGGCAGTTGGAAGTAATTGACAATGAGTTCTACATTTATTCTAAAGATATTAATTACATTGATGATAATTTTTTTTCTTCTAAACAAAAAATCTTTGATAATAACAATTACCCTGAGATTTGTAACACGACTAAATCTAAGCTGATTTCTACTTATTGGAATATTGTTGGAAACTTAAAGGATGCTTCCGAAAGTAGGATGTCACATTTAGCAAGTTTGGATAATGTAGTAAATGAACACAATCAGATTTACCAATTGATTATACTGATAGATTTACTGACATTTTTAATAACACCAATGGTGACAATTTGTGTTTGAATGAGGTTAATGATAAAGTACTGATGGGATTAAGGGGTTAGTACAAAATAAGAGAAAATGTAAAAGTCTTGTACATACTAAAGAGGAAAAAGAACTTGTGGATTGACCTTTATATAGCAGTTTAAAGTCATTTACCAGTGTTAACAATAGTAGAAAGGAGTAATTTTATTGTCTTAGCATATTAATAAAATTTTTTTTTATATATTTTTTATTTGTTTAATGGTGATAATATTTAAAACAGTTTTTAAACTATTTCATTCATTGATAGATCATATTATTTATTAAATGATAGCAACACTTAAAACAGTTTTTAAACTATTTCATTCAATGATAGATCATGTTATTTATTAAATAATAACAACACTTAAAAAGATTTTTAAACTATTTTATTTTATTTGTTGACAGATTTTTGAAGTTATGTTATTTTATTTATTGAAATAGTTATATTTTGTTAAATTTAATATTATTCTGATAAGACATTTGTATACTTGAATAACATGTTTGTTTTTTTACATACTATTTTCTTGTTAAATTCAATACGGTTTTTATAATAAAGCTTCTTTATAGACTATATTTTAGTGTATGTATTATCTAACCTTTGTATTCTTCCATCTTTAATCCATATTTTACAGTTTAACCTTTGTTTTACTCTTGACATTGCAATGTATAACTGTTTATAAGAAAATACCAGTTTCAGTAAGTAGATATCAACATAAGGTAACATCTGACCTTGCGATTTGTTGATTGTTAAGATAAATGTAAGACGTACTGGAAACTATTTTTCCTTTGCACAAGAGGCAATCCCAATTCTTTTAAGAAAAAAGTGAGATTCTAGTGTTAGCTTGTTTCTTTCTCTTATTTTTATTTTCATTTCATTATTCTTTATATGTATTATCATCTATATATTATA